GACGAGAGCTGAAAAGAGTGGGGTAGGACGAGAGAGAGAGAGAGAGAGAGAGGAGAAGAGATGAGAGAGAGAGAGAGAGAGAGCGCGCGGGCGGGAGAGAGCAGGAGACAGAGAGAGAGCGGGAGACACAGAGAGAGAGAGAAGGAGGGAGGGAGGGACACAGAGAGAAAGAGAGAGAGAGAGAGAATGCGAGAGAACGAGAAAGAGAGACCACGCAAGAGAGTAGTAAATAGAGAGCGCACGCAAGAGAGGAAGAGACAGGAGTACACAAAAGAGAGAAAGAAGAGCACGCAAGAACGAAAGAGCACGCTCAAGAGAGAGAGAGAGAGAAAGAGAGAGAGAGAGAGAAAGCTAGAGAGGCACAGAGAGAGAGAGAGAGAGAGAGAGAGAGAGAGAGAGGAAGGGGAGAGGAAGGCGGAGAGAGAGAGTGAGAGCGAGCTGTCAACGCTAGTAAGAAAAAGTAAAAGAGAACGGATTTTAATTAAGAATAAACACTAAAGAGAAGGCGTACCGGATCCCGATTAGAATCAGGAGCCACCGTTTCCGGATGGTTGATGCTCATCCTCGCGCAGCACGCCCCTCCCACCTCCCTCGCGCAGCACGCCCCTCCCACCTCCCTCGCGCAGCACGCACCTCTACTTTGGCTGTGTATGACATGCGGTAGACTCTCTCCCTGCAGTCGGAGAACAGCGCTAGGGAGGAGAGTTTCATCTCGCCCGTGCAGCCGCAGTCGTCGCGCGTCTGTTTGCTTCTGCACTGTTTGTACTCACCCGACTGCTGCGATATCTGCAGTATAGACGTGCCAGAGATGCTACTCGTGCACGCACGCACGCACGCACGCACACACACGCACCCACGCACGCACACACGCACGCACGCGCACGCACGCACGCACGCACGCACGCACGCACACGCACACACACACACACATACACACACACACGCCCGTCCGTATACACGCATGCACACACACACGCCCACCCGCATACACTCACGCACGCGCCTATATACACACATATACACACACATACACACACATACACACACGCGCACGCACGCACACGCACGCGCACGAACGCGCACACGAACACGCACATATCGCATAATTTACCAATTATATCGCAGACCAATAACCTTTTCAGCATTACACATTCTTTGGGACTATAGTGTACGCCACAAATCACATCAAGTGTGTACACATGTCACGCTAGTGATGTCGCGATGTCACGCTAGGTGACACACGGAAGCCGAGGCGCCCTGTGACGTAACAGATGACGCGCGGCTACCAAGCTACTGACACGCGGCTGCGAACCTACCAGAAACGCGTTGTTCCGCCTCGGTTCGCTCGGATCTGCGTTGTAGATGTGGTCGTTCGTCGGTATGTTCACTCCTAGCCTAGATGGCGGCCGGTAGTTCACTGGCAAGTTGTACAGCAACGGTCTGCAACGTTGGAGATTCTTACACGAGCCGCGTCAATGACGGCTTTGATAAAGTAACCAGCGCAAGCATCTGTTTGAGGGGCTCGAACAAGCAGCATCAAAGACATGTACTAGAGACGAACGAAAACTGAGCGAACGACCGCGTTTGCTGACGCGTCGCCACCATGACATCTGTATATATAATATATATATATTTATATATTTATAAGAGAGAGAGAGAAGGAGGGAGGGAGGGACACAGAGAGAAAGAGAGAGAGAGAGAGAATGCGAGAGAACGAGAAAGAGAGACCACGCAAGAGAGTAGTAAATAGAGAGCGCACGCAAGAGAGGAAGAGACAGAGTACACAAGAGAGAAAGAAAGAAAGCACGCAAGAACGAAAGAGCACGCTCAAGAGAGAGAGAGAGAAAGAGAGAGAGAGAGAGGCACAGAGAGAGAGAGAGAGAGAGAGAGGAAGGGGAGAGGGAAGGCGGAGGAAGAGAGTGAGAGCGAGCCTGTCAACGCTAGTAAGAAAAAGTAAAAGAGAACGGATTTTAATTAAGAATAAACACTAAAGAGGAAGCGTACCGGATCCGATTAGAATCAGGAGCACCGTTTCCGGATGGTTGATGTTGTTGGGATAATCAATCCTGCTGTCGGCCATCATTGCATCTAGCACAGGCATGTCCACATCCTCCACACTCACAATGTAGTCAGTCCTGCGATAACAGTGATGATAATAGCACTGGGTTATCATCGATTTACAGGTAATAATGATAATAATAGGTAAACTACTGCTACGCACTGCTTATCTCGCCCAGTATAATTGGTGGTTGGTGTGTGCATGTTACAGAATCTGAATGTGTTTCCTGGTGTGTGCATGCAATAGTGTGTGTATGTGTGCGTGCGTGCGTGCGTGCGGGTGAGTGTATGTATAGAACGTAGGCATACGCATATAATCTACGTGGAGTGAGTGTCGGAGTGAGACTAAGATAACCTAACCTGTCATTAATCTCCTTAAAACTGACGAGGTACGGAGTAAAGAGGATGTACGAATCTCTTTCCGGCTGTTCTACTGTCATGTTCAGCTAAAATCAAATGGATTTCGTCATTGCCTACGCCTCAGAAAACTTATGTAATGCACGCACGCACGCACGTACGCGCTCATATATACGTACTATTCTACTCACGTACCCCTCCCCTCTTCCGCGCAGCATGCCCCTTTCCCCGCGTCACCCACCATCCCACCTCCCCGCGCAGCACGCACCCTCCCACTTCCCCCGCTCAGCGCGCACCCTCTCCCACGCAGCACGCACCCTCCCAGCTTCCCCTCTCGCGCGCCACGCAACCATCCCACCTCCCCGCGCAGCACGACCCTCCCACCTTCCCGCCGCGCAGCATGCCAACCTCTCCCCACGCAGCACGCACCCTCCCTCCCCCCGCGCACGCACCCTCCCACCCCCCCGCGCAGCATCGCATACCTCCCCCACGCAGCACGCACCCTCCCTCCTGCCCCGCGCATCCGCACGCATCCCACCTCCCCCGCGCAGCACGCACCCTCCCACATCCCCGCGCCAGCACGCACCCTCCCCTTCCCGCGCAGCACGCACCCTCCCCCACGCAGCACGCACCCTCCCCTCCCCCGCGCAGCACGCACCCTCCCTTCCGCGCAGCACGCACCCTCGCCCTCCCCCCGGCGCAGACACGCACCTCCCCCCCCCCCGCGTAATACGAACCCTCCCTCCCCCAGCAGCACGCCACCCTCCCACCTCCCCCGAGCAGCACGCACCCCCCCCCGTAATACCCACCCTCACCCTCCCCCCACGCAGCACGCACCATCCCACCTCCTCGCGCGCAGCACGCACCTCCCCCCCGCGTAATACGCACCCTCTCCTCCCCGCGCAGCACGCACCCTCCCACCCCGCGTAATACGCACCCTCCCCTCCTCCACGCAGCACGCGCACCCTCGCACCTCCCCCGCGCAGCACGCACCCTCCCCCCGCGTATATACCGCACCCTCTTCCCCCGCGCAGCACGCACCCTCCCCCTCCCCCGCGTAATACGCATCCCGCCCGCGTAATACGCACCCTCCCCTCCCCCGCGCAGTACGCATTCTCCCCCGTAATACGCACCCTCCCTATCCCCGCGCAGCACGCACCATCCCCCTCCCCCCGCATAATACGCATCCCCCCGCGTAATACGCAGCCTCCCCTCCCCCACGCAGCACGCAACCCTCCCCCGCGTAATACGCACCCTCCTCTCACCCACTGCAGCACGCACCCTCCCCTCGCGTAATACGCACCCTCCTCCCCCCACGCAGCACGCACCTCTCCCTCCCCGCGCAGTACGCACCTCACCCCTCCCCACGCAGCACGCACCATCTCACCTCCCGCGCAAGCACGCACCCCTCCCCCCGCGTAATACGCACCCTCCCTTCCCCCACGCAGCACGCACCCTCCCCCGCGTAATACGCACCCTCCGCTCCCCACGCAGCACGCACCCTCCCCTTCCCCCGCGCCGCACGCACACTCCCCTCCGCGTAATACGCACCCTCCCCTCCCGGCGTAATACGCACCCTCCCCTCCCCAACCAGCACGCAACCCTTCCCAGCGTAATACGCACCCTACCGCCCCCCGCGCGCAGCACAGCACCCTCACCCCGCGTAATACGCACCCTCCCCTCCTCCACGCAGCACGCACCCTCCCCCCTACCCCGGCGTAATACGCACCCTCCCCTCCCCCGCGCAGTACGCATCCTCCCCCCGCGCTAATACGCACAGTCCCTTTCCCCGCGCAGCACGCCCATCCCTCCCCCCGGTAATACGCAGCCTCCCCTCCCCCACGCAGCACGCACCCTCCCCCGCGTAATACGCACCGTCTCCCTCCCACGCAGCACGCACCCTCCCCTTCGCGTAATACGCACCCTCCGCTCCCCCCACGCAGCACGCACCCTCTCTTCCGCGCCCCACGCACCCTCCCCTCCGCGTAATCCACCCTCCCCTCCGCGTAATACGCACCCTCCCCTCCCCCACGGCACGCACCATCTCACCTCCCCGCGCAGCACGCACCCTCCCCCGCGTAATACGCATCCCCGCGTAATACGCACCCTCCTTCCCCACGCAGCACGCACCTCCCCCGCGTAATACGCACCCTCCGCTCCCCACGCAGCAACGCACCCTCCCTTCCCCGCGGCCCCACGCACCCTCCCCTCCGCGTAAATACGCACCCTCCCCTCCCCACGCAGCACGCAGACCAATCTCACCTCCCCGCGCAGCACGCACCCTCCCCCGCGTAATACGCATCCCCCCGCGTAATACGCACCCCTCCTTCCCGCCACGCAGCACGCACCCTCCCCCGGCGTATCACGACCCTCCTTCCCCCACGCAGCACGCACCCTCCCCCGCGTAATACGCATCCCCCCGCGTAATACGCACCGCTCCCTTTCCCCCACGCAGCACGCACCCTCCCCCCGCGTAATACGCACCCTCCCCTCCCCCACGCAGCACGCACCCTCCCCCCGCGTAATACGCACCCTCCGCTCCCCCACGTAACACGGCACCCTCCCCTTCCCGCGCCGCACGCACCCTCCCCTCCGCGTAATACGCACGCCTCCTTCCGCGTAATACGCACCCTCCCCTCCCCCACGCAGCACGACGACCTTCCCAGCGTAATACGCACCCTCCCCTCCCCCGCGCAGCACGCACCCTCACCCGCGTAATACGCACCCTCCCTCCTCCGCGCAGCACGCACCCTCACCCCGCGTATACGCACCCTCCCCTCCTCCGCAGGCACGCACCCTGCCACCTCACCCCGCGTAATACGCACCCTCCTTCCCCCGCGCAGCAACGCAACCTCCCCCCTCCCCGCGTAATACCGCACCCTCTCCCCCGCCACCAGCACGCATCCTCCCCCGCGTAATACGCACCCTCCCCCGCGTAATACGCACTCCCCTCCCCCACGCAGCACGCACCCCTTCCCTCCGCGTAATACGCACCCTCCCCTCCCACGCAGCACGCCGCCTTCCCCTCCCCCGCGCAGTACGCACCCTCCCTCCGCGTAAATACGCACCTCCCCTCCCCACGCAGCACGCACCAATCTCACCTCCCCGCGCAGCACGCACCCTCCCCCCGCGTAATACGCATCCCCGCGTAATACGCACCCTCCCTTCCCCCACGCAGCACGCACGCGCTCCCCCCGCGTAAATACGCACCCTCCGCTCCCACTACGCAGCACGCACCCTCCCTTCCCCGCGCCGCACGCACCCTCCCCTCCGCGTATAACGCACCTCCTCCCGCGTAATACGCACCCTCCCCTCCCACAAGCACGCACGCACCCTTCCCCAGGCGTAATACGCTCCCTCCCCTCCCACACGCAGCAGCGCAGCACATCCCCCAGCGTAAATCGCACCCTCCCCTCCACGCAGCACGCCCCTTCCACCTTCCCCGCGCAGCACGCACCTCCCCTCCGCGTAATACGCACCCTCCCCTCCCCCACGCAGCACGCACCCTCCCCCCCGCGTAATACGCACCTCCCACTCTCCGCGCAGCACGCACCCTCCCCTCCCCACGCAGCACGCACCCTCCCCTCCCCACGCAGGCACGCACCATCTCACCTCCCCGCGCAGCACGCACCCTCCCCCGCGTAATACGCATCCCCGCGTAATACGCACCCTCCCTTCCCCGCACAGCACGCACCCTCCCCCGCGTAATACGCACCCTCCCGCTCCCCCACGCAGCACGCACCCTCCCCTTCCCCGCGCCCCACGCACCCTCCCTCGCGTAATACGCACCCTCCCCTCCCCACGCAAGCACGCACTATCTCACCTCCCGCCGCGCAGCACGCACCCTCCCCCGCGTAATACGCATCCCCCGCGTAATACGCACACCTCCCTCCCCACGGCAGCACGCACCTCTCCCGCGTAATACGCACCCTCCTTTCCCACACGCCAGCACGCACCCTCCCCACCGCGTAATTACGCATCCCCCGCGTAATACGCCCCCTCCCTTCCCCCACGCAGCACGCACACCCACCCTGCGTAAATACGCACCCTCCCTTCCCCCACGCAGCACGCACCCTCCCCCCGCGTAATACGCACCCTCCGCTCCCCCACGTAACACGCACGCCTCCCCTTCCCCGCGCCGCACGCACCCTCCCTCCGCGTAATACGCACCCGCCTCCCCGTAATCACCCTCCCCTCCCCCACGCAGCACCACCCTTCCCCAGCGTAATACGCACCGCTCCTCCCCCGCGCAGCACGCACCCTCACCCCCGCGTAATACGCACCCTCCCTCCTCCACGCAGCACGCACCCTCCCACCTCACCCCCGCGTAATACGCCACCCTCCTTCCCCCGCAGCACGCAACCTCCCCCCTCTCCCCGCGTAATACGCATCCCCCCGCGTAATACGCACCCTCCCTCCCCGACGCAGCACGCATCCTCCCCCGCGTAATACGCACCCTCCCCCGCGTAATACGCACCTCCCCTCCCCCACGCAGCACGCACCCCTCCCCTCCCCCGCGCAGTACGCACCCTCCCCTCCGCGTAATACCACCTCCCTCCCCACCGCAGCACGCACCATCTCACCTCCCCCCGCGCAGCACGCACCCTCCCCCGCGTATACGCATCCCCCGCGTAATACGCACGCCTCCTTCCCCCACGCAGCCCGCCCTCCCCGCCGCGTAATGCACCCTCCGCCTCCCCACGCAGCACGCACCCTCCTTCCCGCGCCGCACGCACCCTCCCTGCGTATATACGCACCCTCCCTTCCCGCGTAATACGCACCCTCCCTCCCCCACAGCACGCACCCCCCCGCACGCACCTTCCCAGCGTAATACGCTCGCCTCCCCTCCCACACGCACACGCACCATGCCCCGCACCGTAATACGCACCCTCCCCTCTCACGCAGCCGCACGCACCATTCCACCTCCCGCGCAGCACGCACCCTCCCCTCCGCGTAATACGCCCTCCCTCCCCACGCAGCACGCCACCCCCCCCCGCGTATACGCACCCTCCCTCTTCCGCCAGCACGCACCCTCCCCTCCCCAGCGCAGCACGCAACCCTCCCCTCCCCCGCAGCACGCACCCTCCCCTCCCGCCCGCAGCACGCACGGCCTCGCACCCGCTGTAATACGCACGCCTTCCCAACCTCCCCCGCGAAGCACGCACCTCTCCCCTCCCCCGCCGCGGCACACGCACCCTTTCCCCACAGCGTAATACGCATTCCTCCCATCCTCCCCAACGCAGCACGCACCCTCGCCCCCTTCCTTCGCGCAACACGCACCCTCCCCCCCCCCGCGTAATGCGCACCTCTCCCTCTTGCCCCTCAGCACGCACCCTCGCCAGCTCCGCGCAAGCACGCACCCTCCCACGCAGCGACGCAAACCTCCCCGTTTCCGCCCGCAGGCACGCACCCTCCCCCACGCAGCACGCATCGCTACCACCTCTCCCGCAGCACTGCACCCGTCCGCCCACGCAGCACGCACCCTCCCCACGCAGCACGGCACCCTCCCACGCTGCCCCGCGCAGCACGACCCTCCCCTTACGCAGCAACGCACCCTCCCCCACGCAGCACGCACCCCTCACCTCGCCCCACTGCGCAGCACGCACCTCCCCCACGCCAGCACGCACCTGCCCCCGGTAGCACGCCACAGCCTTCCACCTTCCGCCGGAGCACACGACCCTCCCACCTCCCCACGCAGCCGCACCCTCCCACGCAGCACCCCCTCCCCCCGCAGCACGCGCCCTCCCCCCCCCCGCAGCACCACCTCCCCCACCAGCACCGCACCCTTCCACCTCCCCCGCTTGCAGCACGCAGCCTCCCCACGCCAGCAACACACCCTCCACCTCCGCGCGCAGGCACGCCTGCCACCTGCTCCTCGCGCAGCACGGCACCTCTACTGTTGGGCTGTGTATGACATGCGGTAGACTCTCTCCCTGCAGTCGGAGCAAACAGCGGCTA